CAGGTACCAAAATGGCTATGTCAGGTTCTCTTCAGAGTTTCTCTTTTAAAATACTTTTTATTCAGGAACACAGTTAAGATATATCAAGGAGAAAAACATTTTACATTTATGGAGTTCTACTATATACCTCAGGCATTTGACATCTGTCACTTGATGTAATCAAATATTATCATTGACTCCACCTTCATTGGAGTCACCTTACCACCTTCACTGACTTTATTACCATTTTTCTGTATTTCAGAACTATTAAAAACTAAGTGACAGAATAGGCCAAATAATGATAATATATATCTTCCTCAAATGCATATTCTTGAAAATCAAACCCTGTCACTGGATACTTTCTTGACAATATACACACAAAGCAACCAATGGATACCCTTAAAGACATTATAAATCAAGACATCTGTTTTAAAAGGTAATTACTTCAAGTGCATTTCAATACCTTATATATTCCTTTTTTAATAAAGATAATATTTTTGGTTGTATTTTTATTTTTAATTCTATTTGTATTTTTCTATACATTTTCAATGGTTACACAAACCACTAATTCAAATACAATTCACCATGTACATATTCAAAAGATTCACAAACTCTTACTTTTGAAAAAAAGTTTCAACAATTAAAATTAGGTAGGGCTAGATCCACACAAATACCTATTCTGTATCTACCATAGAGATATGATTATAATAAATCAGGGGAGTTAAACTCATTTTCACTGGGGGCCACATCAGCCTTGCAGTTGCTTTCAAAGGGTCAAATGTAATTTTAGGACTGTATAAATGTAACTACTCCTTAACTAGGGGCAAGGAGCTCAGCACTGCCGCTGGGTAGAAACAAGGTGCTGGGCTGGATAAAACAAGGTGGAGAGTTAGATTCAGCCCAAGAGCCTTGTGTTTGTCACCTTTGTAATAGATGCTTAGTAAGAACATGATTTTGTCACAGAGAATATAAGGCAGATAGTATCTGGAATGATATCCTTGAATATTAATTGGGAAAAATATGGTTAAAAAAGTGAAGCCATTATAGCCATTAACATAAATGTTACATTCCAGTGAAACATGTCACAATGTAAGTGCCCAAGGACAGTAAATTAAACAAGTGTAAAAAATTTATTCATATAAAAAAGGTTGTTAAATAAGAATTTTTAACTAAGAATTTATAAATTAAAAAATTGTGTTTGTCTATATTTTTATCATTATGGATGTTTTAAGCATTCTATGCCTTCTTTAAATGGAGTCAGAGACTACTTTCTATACACAGTTTCCCTCTCCCACAACTGAGAAGGTTACATTAGATAATGGTTAGTAAGTGCCTAGCAAATTGAAGTCGTTAAAATTCATGTTTGAACTCTTATGGACTGCTAGTCATCTACTTTGATCATGGCCACAAAAGCCCTGGACTTAAATGTAAATCATGTTCAATCATGTTCATTTTTACAAATAGGTTTCAAGTTTGACAACTCTATTCACACTAGAGTCACACTAAGTAACACTACTATCTACTGACACCTATAAGCAAAGCAAACAATCTTTCTTAAGCAAGTATATGACCACTGTTGATAAAATGAGAACAATGTGTGGCATTGATGTAACCTGACAGCCAAAGAAAGTGGACTGGAATGCGCATGTGTGAACCATTACAACTTCACTGTACCAGTCAGTGGGAGATGAGGATGCTGCTGAGTGAGCATATGTACTGTGTGGCCATCACGTTCAAAATGATGGAGCAAGTAGAACAATGAATCTGCATCAAATTTTGCATTAAGCTTAAGCATTCCTCCACAGAAACGACTCAGATGATCCAAAAGGCCACAACTATGGGCATCTTGGTGATTGTCAGCTTTTCCAGGACAACACAACTGCTCATGCATCATATCTGGTGCAGTTTTTTGACAAAACATCAAATCACCCAGGTGACTCAGCCACTCTACAGTCCAGATTTGGCACCCTGCAACTTTTGGCTTTTCTCAAATCTAAAATCACCTTTGAAAGAGAAGAGATTCAGACCCTTGATGAGACTCAGGAAAATACAACTGGGCCACTGATGGCGAGTGGGAGAACTGTGTGAGATCCCAAGGTGCCTACTTTGAAGGGGACCGAGACGTCATTGTCCTATGACAATGACAATGTTTCTTGTATCTTATATCTTCTTCAATAAATGTCTCTCTTTTGCATAATACATGGCTGGATGCTTCCTGGTCAGACCTTGTAAAATACAGCATCAACTAAGCCCTTAATTCATCAATTATAATGATCACTTCCTAATAAGAAAGATCTTAGGGAAGAACACAGAACTACATCCACACTCTAAAGTCTTAGAGGGGAAAAGTCCTTAAGCATCTTCTTGTTAAAAACACTTAAAAAATAAAATTATCTAAATAAATAAATAATGAAATAGTTTTCATTAGGTTCAATTAAGTAGGCAATGGTTTGGACAGACATTAAAAGATGCAACAGAACTTAGCTTTCACTAGAAAGAAAACTTCCTATAAGAGGAAAAATCATCCATATATTAAAGCTTAAAATGCATGGTGTCAAGATTCAGAACTGTGATAGCCTTTTCAATTTTCTCAAAGTACATTAAAGTATATATGGAAGGTGTTTAGAAAAACTACTCATTGGTCAGACTAAAAGTTATTTCATTCTGATTAGAAATGCATTTTAAACAACAGAGGAAAAATAGTATCACTATATTTTAAAAATCTGAGAAGAAATAACAGTAGGAGATCCTTATTTATATGAAAATGTATTAAAAAATCAAACATTACCAGTAACACTCAAATTCTAAATAAGTGGGAGTTTATAAACACAAGTGGTAGAGAAAAAGAACTATAAACATGAGAGTGTCCTGCAAACTTAAAATCCCAGCTAGCATCCGCAGTAGCTTCTATTATTACAGAGGAAAGGTTAACATTCATAAATCCCCAAGTAAGAATTACCATCCTAACCTTACCTAGCCTATTTTCTGACCTTCTTAGATAACTGCTAAATTTGAAGTACGACAAAAAATCTTTGTAAGAACCTTACAAAGCTCTATCTATTCTTGTAAATTATTATTTTGAAGTAAGGGAAGAGGACAATACATAGTTCACAGTTACAAGTAATTTCTTCACATCCCCATCACTAAAAAGAAAAATAAAAAACAATAAAAGAGGCCCTGGCTGGTGTAGCTCAGTGGATTGAGCTCAGGCCTGTGAAGCAAAGGGTCATAGGTTCCATTCCCAGTCAGGGCACATGCCTGGGTTGCGGGCTGGGTCCCTGGTGGGGGACACATGAGAGGCAACTGCACATTGATGTTTCTCTCCCACTCTTTCTCCTTCCCGTTCCCTCTCTCTAAAGTACATAAAATATTTAAAACAACAACAACAACAACAAAAGAACACAGTGTTAGAGCATACCATAAGGTTAGGTAGAGCAAGCCAAGTAGTCATTTGAAGAGATATAAACAGTACAAATGTCTACTCCAAATATCAGATAATAAAAAAATCACTTACAGTTTCACTGCTTTTTAATTAATTTATGTATTACAACATCACCATTTAAATATAATCTGCATTCTCTACACAGGCAACGACTGATAGTTAGAAAGCAGCCTGCATGACTTGTGCACCACAGAAAAGAACCAAGCAGTAAGGATATGTATATTTTCTTACTTTTCCAGCAGAGGAACCAGTCACAATAAATAATGGGTTTGTCTGTAGTAATAACTTGTTTTATCAGTACTTCATGAGCAAAGTATTCTTGGAAGAATTCACATTTTGTACATTTTTTTGATTGAAGACTTACAGCCAAAGTCCAAATAAGAAATCAAAACAAGACTCCTGTCAGTAAATTTCCTTTCAGGACTGGCACACTCTTGCTTCGATTAGTAAAAGTAAAGCAAAGTAACTTTCATGAAGGATTCAGTCAGTCAGAGTAGTGAAAAAGGAACTTCTTACACCACCTATTTCCCTATTTTGCCCCGAAAAGTTTCGGGTTAAAACTCCACTGAGTCAAAGCTTGAGTAATCCACTGAGCTTTGTACCTTGAGGTAAAGGAGTGGAAAGAAAAAGGAGGATAACACAGGTAGCTTCCAGGTTTGGAAAAAGTTGGGAGGAGTTAGGTCTAGTGGTTGTTCGAGTTAGTGAATGGAGATGTATTACACCATGTAAAAAAGGCTAGTCCCCCCCAAAATACACCTAGTATAAAATGAAAATAAAGTCCAAACTCAAGTATCATCGAATATTTTTCATCAGTTTTTAAAGACATGTATGTTATTTGTAGGTTGGACTATTAATCCATTTTGAATTCCAAAAGTCTGTGCTTCATACTCAAGCCTCTAAATTCAAACTGCCAGGTTTAACAGTTCCAGGAATCGATACCATATAGCAAACCTTTTCCCATATCCCCATTAGCACGCGCGCGCACACACACACATACACACACATACAAAGGCAGGGAGGGACAGGGGCTTGCCTGACATTCACAACTTACCCCAGTACCAAAAAAGAAAATACAATGATTAAACTCCACCACAGGCAATTAAAAATCCCAACTTTCCACAAAGCTTCCCTAAACCAAACAGAATCCCTTCATTTCCACCTTAACGAAGAAAGTAATCTGGGATTAAAGTCGGGTATTGAGCAGGATATTTAAAATAAAAGGAGACGGAGGAATTTAACTGAAACTACAGAGGCAAAGTAACACAAATGTGGGTTGCAAAGGTGGGAGAGCAACCGAGGAAGGGACAGGAGAAGAGGCTACTGGAGCAAACGAAGTGGGAATCATCACTTGAAGGGAAGCAGCCCTCAGGGTTGCTGAGAAAAAGGGATTCGGGTTGGAGCCAGCAGGCGTTTACGGAAACCCGAAGAAGGCTAATGGGAAACAATGGGACGGTGAGGCCGGGAGCAAGCGGGAGACGCTCGGAAAAAGGCAACCAGGGTGGGATGAAAGGGAGGCTGCAGTACACGGAGTAAGCAGGGAGGTGAGAGGCCAGGTGGCGAGGCACGTTGGAGCACCGTGGCGCACCGTCAGTGAAGCTCGGGTCCCCTAGGAACCCGGAGGGGAGTGGCTTGTCAGGGATTTTTAGACAGGGAACGGAAACCGTGAAGGCAGGTGTAATGGAAGGAAAATACAGCTGGAACGAGCTCAGGACCCACCGTGCCAGACAAGACGCAGGGAGGGAAAAGGCAGCTAAAGGAGGGGTAAGAAAAGAGATGGAAACACATGGGCCGCGGCACAGCCGTCGGCTTCACTCACAGTCCAGGTGCTTTTTCTTGGGGCCCATGATCTCGTGGGTCGTGGCCTTGCATACTGTCTTGGATACGGCGGAGCCGGTGACACTGTGCTGGGCGGCGGTGATACGGTCCGTCAAGCTCTGTCCGGACATCTCTGCGGCTTTTCCGCCACCCTTCCCGTTCCGCAGCCGGCGGGGACTGGGACCCCAAGTGCCGGAGGACCCCCACCCCCCACCGCACCCCTACCCTCACCGGCTCCTTCTCCGCCCGCCGGCCTGGGGCGGGGCTCAAGGCCGCGCGCTGCCACCCAGGCCGGAAAGAACAGGCTCGTGTCACCCGCGGGGTCAGGCACGGTGCCGGGCGCTCCCCTTCCCCCCGCCTCACTTCAGCCCACCCCTTCCCTGGTCAGCTGGAGCCGGGCAGAGTAAGAGGGACAAGCAGCTGCAGGAAAATGGCGGCGCCAGGCTCCACCTCGGAGCTTTCCGGGCTGCCCCGGGTCACGTGACTGGAGCACTGCCCCTCCTCCTCCCGCCCCTTTTCCTTCTCCTTCCTTTTAGACGCCCGCCCTCCCTCCCTCGCTCAGCGAGGGAAGAGCGGGGCGGTGCCCGCGTGTAACGTGCTGGAACCCGCCCGGCGGGCGCAACAAGAGGGCCGCCCGAGGCGGGGGGCGGGGAGTGCGGGGCGGGCCGCGTCACGTGATACTCTTGCCAACAGGTCGCCAGAAGCTGAGTCCGCTGGGGTCACAGAGAGGGGGCGGGGCGGGGGAGGTACGTCGAGTTCTGTGCCCTAGGGGACGGCCACTCCCCTTTCCCACCGCACTTCGAGGTTGCCGTAATGCCTCTGGTCGAAACCAATATCACGACAAAGCGGAGGTGCAGCTGTCTTCGTAGCACCCCGGGAGGCAGGAGCTGTCAGACTTCTGGTTTCCCAGGCTTCCCTAGCATAATCAGGAATATGTTTAGGAATGCATTTCCCACCCCCACCCCCACCCGGCCATCCTCCTGCCTAAGGAAAAAGGAAATGGACTTAAGTGGGCCCATTTTCTGAGCCTGCCCCCAGGCCTCTCCCTATTGTGGAACTATAGAAGCCCTCCCTGCTCACTAACAACTCCAAGAGGGTTGGGATTTTTTCCCCATTTTTCTTGGGCGGCTTGGAAATGTCACCTGTTTTTGTCCCTGAAAACTCGACACGTTGCTGCCTGTCTAAATTTAGATACTAACCAGCCATTATTCTTTCTCTAGGGCGTCAAACAGGACAGGAAACACATAGTTTCACTGGAATTTGGAAAAGGAAGAAGTTGGATGATGTCAACCAGAGATTAGCTTGAACCCTGTAAGGTTAACTGATGGCGGTGATTAAAGATCCAGACCATGGAAGGAAGTGAGAAGTCCCATTCAAAAACAGGCATCACTACCTGCCATCTCCCCTGGTTTATTTAATCTTTCTCCCCTTTTCTCTCGTATAAACCACATTTTTCAGGGAAAGAAGACATTGACACGACCCTGGAGACATTTTAGAGGAATTACTACATCCTATGAATTTTCTGTGAAATACAGATCTATTTCACAAAGAGTTTTAAAATGTTATTAGGGCCCCACATTTAACCCAGGTTTGGGAATGTTTTAAAATCTATATGAATGTTAAATTACCACAACATTCCTATGTAATCCTGCTAGTTTCAAATGAAATGCTAACATACTCAGAAAGTCTGTGTACACCATCTGCCAGCCAAATCTAGATACGGTGCTTCAATCTGGTGACTCTCAAAAGAGGCAAAGCTAATAGATAGTTAACGTTTTATGTATCATATCGTGAATTTTGTTGTATCCTCCCATTCTCTTGTCCCTCCCCTTTTTTTTCCATTATGGCTGGTGAAATTCTGCAACACCATGCTTTTGCCAAGAACATACAGTTCTTAAACCAGCAGGCTTTGTCTTAGTCAAGCCAGCCCTAAATTTCACAAAATTGTAATGATTTCCTTCAGTGCATCTGCAGTCCATCTGTGGTTTAGTGTCCAGTTTGCTGCCCTGTTTCTATCTAGCAATGGAATTATCCAATTCTCAAGACATGGTAGACATCCTTGCTACTTTTCTATGGTTTCCACTAAATAGGTTACAATTGGACTGAGCCTCTCCACTGGTAAACCCTCTGATGAGGGATGTATGATGTTTAACTATCAATAGCTAAATATTTCATTCTTAGGGAAAGTGCTGGTTGAATGAATGAATGAAAACATTTGAAATTCACCCATTTGGAAACACCAAACCTCTCATTTGATAAAATCTGCTCACTTTTTCACACTTACATTATGTCCATTCCATAATTGTCTGGAGCATCATCCTCATTTCAATATCTTATTAATTCTTACACTGTATTTCAAAAATATGTACTGCACACCAACAATGCATCAAGCATTACTCTAGGTGCTAAATACTGTTCTAATGGTGAAGCTATCAATGCTTTGGGATTTAGTTCCTTTTTTAAAATTGTATTTATTAATTTTAGAGAAAGAGGAATAGAGAGAGAGTTGGAGAGAAACCAGTTTGTTCCTCTTATTTATGCATTGATTGGTTGATTCTTGTATGTGCCCTGACAGGGCATCAAACCTGCAACCTTGGCATATCGGGAGGATGCTTTAACCAACTAAGGTTCCCAGGCAGGGCTCTAATCAGCTCTTAACTTTGACCCCCATCTTGAAGCTTATTTGTTTTCATTATAAATGAACAGAACCAAAAGCAGAAGGAAAAACTTGAATAGCACATAATATTTCCTAGATTCTCCAAATTTAAAAGTATGATTCCCAAATTAAAATGGAAAGGGGGGATAGCAGTTTTTTGAATGGCTTCTATGTATTGGAAACACTACATACATAAAGTTTTTCCTATAATTTTCCCATTGCTATAACTCTGAAAGTATTATGCCTATTTAATATGAGGAAAAAGGTAAGTTTTAGAAGTTAAGTCTTAGAAGTCCCAGAATCCCACAGATATTAAAGTGTCAGAAGCAAGATTTAAAAACTCATTTCTTTCTGATACGTTCTTTACCTATACCCTTTAGGCAAGACCCATAGCAACCACGAATATAGGATAAATTCGTCCAACAAATATTTCTTGCTCGCAAACTCAAATGCTAGGCATTACTAGATGCTAAAGTATAATAACGTGTGAGACAAACATGGTCTCTGTTCTCAAAGTTCTTACAATATTTTAATTGGCAACAGATGAGAAGAAAATATGCTGAACACCTGATGAACCTTTATAATGTCTATGGCTTAAAAGAGAGTGAGCAACAAAAAAAATGTGGAAAAGAGGATTGACCAAAATTTTTACTCCTTATTACTTCACTCTTCCCCCTTTCCCAATTCCAATGAGCCCTCAGCTCCCTATCCCCATTCTTCTTAGACATTAGAGTCATTGAAATTATAATGTTTTGACATTCTGCTAGCTATGTTAATATGAACACCTGGCAAACCCTTCCTCCCTCAACTTTCTATGTTTATATTTCCTGATGCTGCCACATCAGTTAAAGATCATAATCTTATATAACCTTACCAAAAAGTAAGGACATTTCTTTGACTGTTAGCTGAGCTCTCTTGCTAGAACCTCAAAGCAAGTACTCCACTTCCAACTGTGGGGTCCTTATTTAGGTTATTACTCACCTTGTGCTTAGCACATTACATGCCTACCTCAGTTAAACCCTAAAATTAGTTCAAGACCTTAAGTGGCAGACACAGCTCTGTGTTCACCAAACTGTTTCCTTTTCTTCTGAGCACACACTATAGTTCCCAGCCTCCTTTGTAATGAATCGAGATCATGTGACTGATTTCTATCCAACAGAATATGGACAGAAATGATGAAAGCGATTTAAAGTTTGGCCCACAGAACATGTAAAAACTCCTACATGTGGTGAACATTCTCTTTTTCCCCCCTATCTACCTGCTGAATGAAGACTTCAAGGAACTCAGAAGAGCTTAAAACCACAAGATGGAAGAACCCTGAGGCCCCAAATAAATCCTTGGAGGAATGCTGCCCAGAATTGCATGACCAGAAAAGCCTGTGTTGGATTTGACTTTTTTAAATTAAATTGTGCCTCTTAAATTAGCTACCATGCTTAATATACTTCTTTTCTCCCCATTTTACTGATGGGGAAATTGAGGCTCAAGAAAAGTGTAGTGCCTTGCTTAAATTTACTTAGCTATTAGGTTGGGAAGCTAGAATTAGATCTCGAATCTGTTTGATTTTAGAACGTAGGCTCTCATGGCTTAAGTGGCTCATGACACTAGTTCATGTACTTTTACCTTGTCATAAACTTCTGTATGGCCTTAAATACACACTGCTCCACCTAGCATGCTGAAAAGAAATAATCAGGGTAACCTCCAAGTTCTCTCACATATATTTGGCTCTCTTCTTATCCTTAACACACTCTCACCACACTTTCAGGAATTTTCCAATTTTCAATGCCACTTTTGATTTTATAATTGCAATGTGTATTTGGACATTTTATACTTGTTTAGAGATGATATGTAGCCTAGCTGTTAAATATAATCCATGCCTTAAAAGGAAAGATTAATCAAATCTTAACCCTGAATCATCATTAAAAACTAATTATGAAGTGGAATGAAAGTGGGATGCCACTTCCAGTGAAGATGGCAGCCTAGGCAGACGTGGCTCTCCTCTTCATACAACCACCACAAAATTACAACTAAAATATAGAACAACCATCACTCAGAACTGACAGAAATCGAGTTGAATGGAAGTCTGATAACTATGGAATTAAAGAAACCATATCCATCCAAACTGAGCCAGAAGACGGGTGTCATATCTGAGATTCTATCAAGTTGGCTAACACTGACTCACCTTGGAGATCCCCAGAGCTTCTGGCCCACCCAACTTGGCTTACCCAAGCTGCTTTTACATATGAATGGCTGATCTTGGCTCATGCTTCACAACTTCCTAAATCCTCTCAATTAAGAAGCAGTTGGGCTCCGTAAGCCCTAGGCCCAGAACTAGCAGACTAGACTCATAGAAATCTCTAAGCCCATCACGAGTTGCAGCCATCTCAGATTGTTTTATAACTCAGGCAGGGTGGCCCTAGACAAAACAGGTGGTGCTGATCTTGGCCTGCACCGCTTGGGAAACCCCAGGACCAGCACACCCAGAAAACAGCTTCGGAGCATGTTGGAGAACCACTACCTGCCATTGCATAGCTGATCCTCCACAGAGGGAGGAGGTTGGTGGTAAGTGGTCGCAGCCAATCCCTACAGTTGACTGGCATGGGTAAATCCCTCCCATTGATCTGCCAACAGCAACTAAAACTCAACTATAAGAGGAGGGTGTACACAGCCCACACAAAGGGTGCACCTCAAGTACCCATTTTAGGTGATAGGGGAGGCTATGCCACCGGACCCTACAGGACACCTACTACATTAGGCCACACTACCAAGACACAAAATCAAAGCGGCTCTACCTAATACACAGAAACAAACACAGGGAGGCTGCCAAAATGAGGACACACAGAAACATGGCCCAAATGAAGGGACAGATCAAAACTCCAGAAAAAGAGCTAAATGAAATGGAGGTAAGCAATCTATCAGCTGCAGAGTTCAAAACACTGGTTATGAGGACAGGATGCTCAAAGAACTTAGTGAGGAGCTTAACAGCATAAAAAGATCCAGTTGGAAATGAAGGATACACTAATTGAAACAAAGAACAATTTACAGGGAAACAATAGTAGACTGGATGAAGCCAAGAATCAAATCAATGATTTGGAACATAAGAAAGAAAAAAATAATCATAACAATAAAAAGAAAAGAATCCAAAAAAGTGAGGATAGTGTAAGCAACCTCTGGGACAACTTTAAGCAATACAACATTTGCATCATAGGGGTGCCAGAAGGAGAAGGAAAAGAGCAAGAAAGTGGAAATCCATTGGAAAAAATAATGAAAGTAAAGTTCCCTAATTTGGTGAAGGAAATAGACATGCAAGTCCAGAAAGCACAGAGAGTCCCAAACAAGATGGACACAAAGAGGGCCACCCCAATATACATCATAATTAAAATGTCAAAGTTTAAAGATAAAGAGATTGGAGGATGGAGTGAGAGAATGGGTGAGAAAGGAGGGGATTAAGAAGTAACAATATGTAATTACAGAATATCCATGCGATGTAAAATACTGTATAGGAAAAGGAGTAGCGGAAGAACTCACACACATGGCCCATGGACATGAATGAGGGTGGGGGATGGCCTGAGGGAGTAGGTGGTGCTGGATGGAAGGGAGCAAATGGGGAAAAATCAGGACAACTATAATAGCATAATCAATAAACTATAATTTTTTAAAAAGTAGGATACCTGAGCCATTAAGATATCTGAGGTCCATTCTTCTCTGTAACCTTTAGAGGCTGAATCAATTAATTATTAAAACATGCACCACTGAACTAAAATAAGATCAGAATTTTAATGATGTCGGGAAAGTCAGAGATGCAATATGGCTCCAGCAGTCAAGACAGCTGGGAAATGTTGACCTCTCTGTTTAACCTTCTGTGACTGTTTAACTTTCTGTAGCCTCAGGCTTGGCTGACTACCCAGAAAGCCAGAATGCTGCCCCAAGATAAATGTCATGCCCCCAGCAAGGAGGATAATGAGTGTATAGAGTGTGGATAACCGCCCGATCTTATCTGCTAACTTAGAAATGCATTGTTCTTTCTGGTGGTCTATATACCCAGCATATGGTTTTACTATTAAACCCACATAAAAGAGAGACCCAGTCCTGGGAGAGTGTGGATTGCTTTCTGGTGGACCTGGGAGAAAGCAGCTGCTTTGCCCAGATATGTAAGTTTATCCTATTAAAGTCCTTATGAATTTAAATGAGGCTACATGTCAGTTCTTCGTAATCAATCCTGAATTTAGATTTTGGGGGTTTTCCCCCCAAAAATGTTAATGTTAAAATAAGGATATTGAATTTTGACCAATAAGTATTAGTAATATAAAGAAGATTCATGAATTCATTTGAAGTGATGGGAAAAGTACCAGATCTGGAACTAGATACACTTAGGTTAAAAATTCTATGAAAGTTATTTAGATTCCTCTCATATAATTTCATACAGATTTATTGTCAGCGTTAAAATAATGTACATGAAAAACTAGTATAATGCTTGACACACAGTTGTCACTCAAATAAAATCAGTCAACAAACATTTACTCAGAATTACTGTGGGCAAAGCATTCTGTTAGATTCTCAGGATACAGAGATTAGTTAGACAAAATATTAACACAATGTATTAAGTAATACGATCAAGGTATGCATAGAGTGCTATAAGAATAGAAAAAAAGACACCTGCTTCTTGTTAGAGGAATCAATAAAGGATTCTCAGAGGTAGTGACACATAAGCTGAATCTTGAAGGATAATTAGGAATTGTGGGGGAACCAGGGAGAAGTTATTCCAGGCAGAGGAAAACCATGCATGCAAAAGAAGTCATTTGAGAACTACAGATAGTTTTATATGGCTCACACAGTGTGTACAAGGTTTTCATTTATTCTTTCCATCAGCAAGTAGTTAATGAGCACCTATGTGTGCTAGATAGTACTCTAGGTCCCAAAAACTATCAGTGAACAAAATGAATAAGTATTCTGCCTTCTTGAATGGAGCCTCTATTCAAGCAGGGCATATTGGATAAAAAATAAATAAATATGAAACGAATGCAGAAAGTGATGAGTGCTATGAAGAAAAATTAAACATGATGAAAGAAATCAAGAATGACAGGGAAGAGAACTTTAAATTGAATGACAAACGAAAGCCTTGCTAAGGAGCTGACATGTGTCTTGAGTGGATTGTGGGATTTGGCAATGCAAATATAGGAAGAAGATCATTTTGCATAAAGGAAACGATAAGTAGAATGTCTCTCAAGAAGGAATAAGGTTAGTCTGTTTGCAAAACACTAAGGCCAGTGTGGCAAGAAAAATGAATAAAGAAGACAAAGAGACTGGAGATGATCTCAGAGATATGGGTTTAAGGCATGTTGAGGAGTCTAGATAATATCCATAGTTGGATGCCCCATGTAAATAGAACACTAGCTCTAGATCCTTGGAACAAGCTGATGACTGCATGAAGTAGGCTATTCCCTACCAAGACCCCACAGATTGCCATGTTCTTCTTTGTATGAGTATCTCCTTGGCTTTGCTTCTTTACCCTCTTGGCTATTTTCTTCCCCCTCATCTGGATTAAGATTATAGGTTATTAATGGACATCCTTGTCTTTTACTCACAGTATTCCCAAAACCTATGTCCTTGACAATAACCAGATATAGGACAAATTCTTCATGTACTGGTAAGATTAAACAAACCCTACTCAAATGAAAGGGGAAAAATGTTGGTTAAATAAGGGGGATCCAAGTAGATTATGTCGCATGCTTACTTTATCCAGTTTTTTTTAATTTAGGAAAGTAGCTTCGAAATGTCTTTCAAACTCTAATAAGTGTTTTCTTAGTGTCTACATTGCAGTTACCATATATGTGATCTTCAGAATCTTAGATGATGCTGCACAGCCACTGCTGTGTGACTTATAAATGATCACCCACCAAAAAGAACAAGAAGGCCTAAGACTTAACAGAGGTCCATATGGCTGCCATGAAAAACTAAATATATGATTGCAGTTTATCAAATAGCAATACAGATCTGGATTGATCAGTTCCCCAGAAAAATAATGGTCTTTCTTCCAGCTTAGGCTAAATATTGACCAGAAGAAGGGGGACTGAGAAATAAAGCAAAAACTGTAATGATTTATAAAATTAAATGAAGCAAAAACTGTAATGATTTATAAAATTAAATGAAGCAAAAACTAAAATGATCAACTGCACCATCCCATGATATGGACTACAAACTATTTAAGCTCTTATTGTCTTAACGCAGCTTGTTTAGACTATATGGTACAAGATAAGACCACAAATTAACTAATTTAACTGTAATTCTGCATAGACTCAAGTGTTCTAGTAATTCTCCTAGTGTACAAATTCTAATCAATCCATGCCCAGGCTACTAACATTCACTATTAAGGCCCCTTCCCTTCTGGAGCTTTCAAGTCTAAAATAGG